TTTTTTTTTTGAATATTGGAAAAACATAATTACATCGTAACACATGAAAAAAAAATAACAGAAAGAAAGTTTTTCATAATCATATGCTCTGAACAAAGACTATGTAGTCTTATTTTTCTTTTACCTGAACAGCAGTGTCTTTGGGCAAGGTTTTATGAGTTTGTTGAATAACGGACAATGGCTTCTCAATTACATAAATATTATTGAACTATGTTTTAAACTGCGCCGTACTAATATCGGAAATCCCATAATCATCATTTTACGTGATCTGTGAAATTTTTTTGACTGGCATTTTAAGTGCTGTTCGATCTCTTGATTTTGATTGGCTAAAAGCGACGATCAATAATTTAGGCCAAAGTTACTCAAAATTTTACTAATAAAACCACAGCCGCACATTAAGTGAAAAATATTTCTGGGCTAATTTTACCATTGTGCGGGCCTATTTATCTAAAAATTTCCATTTTGGGAATGAAAAGTTAAAAAGTTAATTCCGGCCAAAAATTATGTAAACAATTATGTAATGCGGGCCAAAATTTTGTAGATCACGGCCGTTAGCCAATCAAAATCGAGAATCATCTGTGACAAAATTGGTGCGGCAGCTATGTTCAATTGTATAGTTATAAGGCATTTTTAATGTTGTACATATGCTAAATCTCATAATTAATTGGTTAATACATTAAACGCAGTAAAAATATAAATTTCTGCATTTAAAATCACAATATGCAACACATATTACTATATTTATCTATTGTATAAGTGTTTGCTTTTGTCTCGATTAAAGTGCATGATGATCAGTATAAAAATATCTTTTTTTTATTGTTTTTCGGAATTGCACTAGCTAAATATGTTATGGAACTCAAGAAGAAGCATAGTACTGTATTGGTTATTTACCATAGATAAATGGAAAATTCCAGGCATCTCTAGCATCTCTAGTGTAAAACTACATTTGATCATATGATTTTAACTAAAGTTAGGGTTGCACAAGGTTAGAGCAAAGGCAAGTTTTATATGTAAAATTGTCTTCCTGACATTTTTAATTAGTACACCAGAATAGGTTTAGATAGGTGTTTTTTGTATTTTTGACTTTTTTCACTTTTTTCGCTCTTTTGTTGTTGTTTTTGTTTTGTCGAACTAATCCGTGATGATCATTCTTCGTGTTATCTTTGTGCTACACGAAAATGATTTATTTACATTTTAATTGGCTATTAAGCCTGAAATATTATCATTAGACATCTCTAGCTAGAGATGCCTAGAAGAACCCTAGATAAATTATGTGTCAAAGACACTAGCTTCGCTATAAATCAAAAAATAAATTAAGGTTCTCTAGTTATAATTTTGAAACCCCTAATTTTCAAGTCGGCTATTAAGTATCTGAATTTGGTACAAAGCATAACTATCACTATATAAGAGTTATTTATAATTTCTAAAATTAGACTTTTCATATAAATGCAAAATAACTCTTAAAAGTGTAATTTCGTATTTTGATCAAATTAAGCTTAGCTACTTATTTGTAAATTATTCATGATTGCCAGTAGATCGATCAGCCTTTGGTTCATACTAATTATATATTTAATACGCTATAATAATTATTATTTTTATTTAAGATCGCTTAGTCCAAAATGCTTCAGTTGAGTTATGGTTGTGTTGCAGTTGAATTTTTCTTATATAATTATATAAAAAAAGTTATACCTTAGTTGAGTCGTGGTTGAGACGCATTAGAATCTTAGTGATGCGGACTGATAATCTAACTCTTTATTGATATGATAAATATATAATAATAATGATTTCTTGTCATAGACAAGGTTATACAGTGACTATGCTTCCAGGACTATGCTTTTATCTAGTAAAATAAGAGCATTATTCCAAGGAATGGATATTGTGAAGCATTGAGTTTTTAACTCCTGAATCTGTTTTGAATTACCTGAATATGCTTTTAGTATATCATCAAGTGGAATTCCTGGCTCTCTTAAATTAGTGCAATATAAATAATATGTATTTTTATTTCGATTATTTAGCCACCACTTACTATATAAACTCATATGATTTTCTCTATATAGCAGACAATATAAATCTAAAACCCAATAAGAATTAGTTTGATGCTCACCTTCTGTATCTATGCTATTATTTTTATCCAACTTTGGTGAATCAATAAAATGTGTAGTTAATTTATTAATGACTTGATTATGCATTTCTTTTGACAGCATTGTAATTTTGGCGCTGAAATTTTACCAAAAAAAATAAAAAATAAAGTCTTGGAAAATGTCTGATATTTCTAGTAATAAAATCGATTGCATAACACGAATGTTTGATCAACATATCACATGTCATACCAAAGAAGAAAATCGAAGGTCATGGAACTTCTGCATGTACAGTGGCTTAGCGATTTTATATATGTTTATTAAGAAAAAGCCAACAGCACTTCAGATGCAGAGCATCCTCTTTCCAAGAGACAGTGGCTTAACAGTAGTTTATGATCTTTTAATATATATACGTAGTGAGAATAATTTAAAAATCTTTTTATTGCGTTACAATATTATAAATCGCATAAAATTAGTAATTGGTTTGTGTTACTCTCCTACAGGATTAATTCCCACAATTAATTTTTATTAATAACAAATATTACGAATAATAATGTCTAGACCTATACGATCCTGCAATAAGAATGAGGCTAGGTAATAAGTATAACGTTCCTTATCAGTAGTTTTATAGGTCATAGACCCAGGCTTTGCCTGTCCAAATTTATATGTCATGGGGGACTTGGAATTCCCAGATCGTCAAGATCGTTGACTTTTTTCACTTCGCAGAATACAATCGTTGAATCTAAGGGGAGTTAATTTTACCAGGAAAATAACAAAATAGACCCAGTATTTGGAACTTATGACTGAGCAGAGTTGCTTTATTCTGTTATTTACTTACTAATCGTGTACTTTTTTTTTCTGGTAGGTTCTAAGATCTAACGAATGAATGGTATAAAATAAGCAAGTTCCCACCTTAAGATAAGTTAGCAAATAATGTTATTTTTTGCTCATATAAATTTTTACTTGATTTACTTGCCTGTATTTTTTTAAAAAAAGTAATTTGTGTTATTTCATTTTACTTCAGCTATGAAACCAAATTTTACTTACTATGTCTTTTTTGTATTTAGGTACAAACAATGAGCACTAATAGCACCACCACCAAGACCAACGACACTACCACCCCAAGACTAATGATAGCACCACCACGAGTAATAACACCACCACTTCTACGACTAATAACAATGACTCCTCCGAGACCTATAATGTCCCTCCAACACCACCCAATCCAAGACCTAGCCAAAGGACACCTAATTCACGTAATAATAGGAGAAACAGAAATGGTAAGTAAAATCCCATCTTATTATATATATTCAGTTCACTTGAGTGAACATGTAGTAAAATTTTATTTAAATTAGATAATTCGACCTATGGTATCTTACAAGATGATGAGTATTATGATTTTGGGTCAAAATCCCGAACAATGGATCCCCGAAAGAACGTAATACAGAAAAAGTTGGCCGGCACTAGCCATAATGCTGGCCAATTTGGTCAGTATTATGTTCTTTCGATAATCCGTTGTTCGGGATTTTGACCCAAAATCGAGTATTATAAAGAGAGGTGATTTCTGGACACCACTTTCGGGAAAATCTATAGAAAGACGTATAAGAAATGATGACTGGGACGATATGAATCCCGGTGAGGCCCAAGAAATCTTAGATCAAATGTAAACCCCACCAACCTGACCCGTTAAGGGCGCCTCTTTGAGGCATATATTTTTTTTATTTGTATTTTTTTTATCTGTATATTGTCGTTCCGGCAATAATTTTTATAAATAAAGGGGGTCCGCTGGGTTCCAATTTTTTATTATACAATCGAATTATTAAACGCGAAAAATTATTATTTGTGTAATGTGTAGTATTTATTTACATAATGCCAATAGATTTATTTTGCTAACAGGAAATCATGAAATTTATTTCTTTTGTTTTTTTGGTTGATAATTTTGTTTTTTAGATCGATCGGGAGTTGGTGGGTTAGGCGTTATGGTATGAACCTTCCGCTTGGCAAGCAATTTCTGTTTTGGATCAATAAATAATTTTCGGTTCTCTGTATTTTCTTTCATAAAGGACTAAATGTGAATTATTATTAGTAAAGAATTGGTGAGAAATTATACAACCGTTATTATACTCACAAAGAATTTCAAGCACATTATAATTGCTTCGGATAATACAGGAAGATCTTCCCAAAGAAGAGGGACTCTAAAGCTCCCGAATTCACGTACGCAATATGCTTTTTGATTTATCGTAAGCCAAAACAACGATACATCTGTACGATACCCCAAAGCACCGAAGCTCGCTAAATCTTTATTATCCGATGTTCCATCGGTAAGTCGAAAAATTATACGTTGATTTAGGATATCCCGCATAGTTCTAATAAGCTTATAGTCGTGAAGATAAAGTTCTGTAAGATCATTGTAGTCGGGGGGACCGACTTGTTCGTATATGAATACTTCCTCACGGCTTATCCAGAGGCGAGCTAAACCATCCGCACGTTTTGCTGATAAAACTTTATCAATAATTGGGTTGAGATTTGTGTTACGTCGGTGCTTACTGCTTTCGATCGGGACTTCGAGACTAGTGTCACAATGTTAATCAATAATTATGTACAAATGAATTTTTTCTCGGAAAATATAATTGGATTAACTTACATTCGCCAGTCGACATTACAAATAGCATCAAGTGTGTTGTTAAATATCGGATTTACGAACTGTGCATTGAACTGATTTTCTTCGAGGTCTCCTGATTTTAATATATTGTATGGTGCTTTGAATACTTTAATACTAAAAAAAAATGAAAATCAAAAATATTGTTACATAATAAATCTAAGAGTTTTGGAGACTTTAAAGGTTTGACATACTATGGTGCAAGAATGTTATAGATTGTATCCTTTATATAAAGGTCTTCATCGCATTCGTTTTCACCGGAAATTACATAAAGCCCACGCCAGCATTTAATCCATTCTAATAAAGAATCTTTTGGCTATTTGCCATCAATAAATAATAAAAACAAAAAAAAAAAATCTTTTTTTCCAGTTTTTGCAACATACTTTGAAAGCTTCGTTTATTATTTCTTCCCATTTTTTGGGTAATTTGTATTCAGGATATGTATTCGATATAAAATTTTCCCATATTGCTTCAGAGATTTTTTCCGTAAACTTAGATCCAGGCCTAAGATCCATTATGTCGCTATGACATAAGCTAATAAAAGGTGATAGTATGAATAAAACTATCTGTTTTTTCATATCGATCAGAAAAGTAGATTCTACTCACTCAAAAATGTTTTCACACTCATTACAATAACGTTCAAAAGTTTCTTCCAAATTGACGTCATCTATTATTAGGGCCGTTCTTTCGACTTTTCCGATCATTGATTCTGCTACTTTTTGAGAATCGTCATCAGGTACACAAAACTGCAGTATAAAGTTTACGTTCTCGTCATCAACTCTATCATCATGGTTTTGATCTAAGTCCTAAGAATAATGAATTCACTGCACATGGTGAAATAAAACACAATGGAAAAACATAATTACTTGATTTTCTGGAATTCGAGGCAAGGGTATAATTTGTCTGTCCCCAGCGTCTTGTAGATTTTTTCTTAATACTTTTTCTTCCTTGGGATTATCCACCTAAGAACATCAATAAAAAAAATTATTAAGTTTCTGACTTTTAACTCAATAGTAAAAAACTCAAAAATCTTGCATTCATACCTCTTCCTCCCCTAGTTTGTTAGAGGATCCAGTGAAATTTCCACAAGTTATATTTCCATTTACGCTTCCATTTATAGTTCCGCCTTCAAGAAATGTCTGTTGGTAGCATTGGATCTGTCTTTTAGATTGTCCTTTCTCCCACGCCCTTGCCAGGTGATAATCCAACCGAATACCCTAGAACAATAAAACCCAATTGGTTAACAGAGCTCTTGACAAATGTGCCTCTGAATCACATCGATCCCACCAAATCAGCTAGAAACCTTTGAACAACAGGCAACCTAGAAAGCCACCTGTGTCCTGGCGGGATCTTGAACGTCAGGCAACCTAGAAAGCCACCTGCGTGCCGTAGCAACAACCTAGAAAGCCACCACTACGCAATCAATTCATGGCTATAAAAGTTTCTATACTCGCCTTCTTATAACTATCAAGCAACTTTTGTGCTTTTTCGCGCCTGGAATCTTTTTCATCGTTAGCAATTTTCTCGAGGCTTTTAATGTATTGATCTATCATCAGATCGAACTTTTCTTCTTCACATTCGTCTAAGAACCCCAAAATATTCCATTCGGATGACTTTTTATCAAAATATTTATGCGCAAGTATTTCCGACATGGTAAAATGAGAAGATACGCGTAATTGGGTTGATTATTGACCCGACTGGTAACGATCAAATCCATCCGTCAACTGTAACACAAAAATTAACGTGTCTAATGATTATTAACCAATCAAATTACAGATTTTGGTATAACGAAGGCCTTAGATTTGTTGTGGGCATGTAAGCATATCTTTATTAATTTGATTATTCATTACCCCATTTTTTTTATATAAAACACGTATTATTTACAAAACATAATTAGAAACACATGATACAGTATATAAGAAACTTCACGTAAAAAAATTCTCGCCATACTTTGACCAATTTTTTAAAATTCCTAAACTGAGTTCAGGAGTGGTGTATTTGTGCTTTGTTTTACAAATTTATGCATAACTATAGATCGGCGCGTCGATTATAGAGATAATTTTTTTACTTATATAAATTTTATTTTATTTTTTGTCTACCGGAAAATAGAACACTAAAAATGCCAAATGTTAAAATTTTTATTACATGGAGTATACACGATCAACTCATCAAAATTCAATATATGGCACAGTAATCATGTGAGCGTGACCTCCAGGTCACAGGCACATGACTTATACTAACGGGGCTTTGTCAGATAATAAAAAATTTATTGCTTATATCTAAAGAGATGTGATATCGATGATACAATAAGATTTTATTATTAAATCGTCAACTCTGATTTATTTCGCATTCACATCGCCTATATATTCCATCCGCTACTTTTTTACATGTTTTACAATACAGATGTGAATGGTGATTGCATTCGTCACAAACCTTACATCCGTAATTCCACCCTCTAAAAATATGCCACTTTTCGATATAATTTCGATTTTTTTTATTTGTTAATACATTACTCTTATCTTTCATTGTTATATATTAGCCAAAAAATATATACGTGTTCTAAATTTTTTATCATTCAAACCTGCAATTAGTTGATACTCAATATTGCTACCATTATGTAATATCAATAATGTAGTACATACGTAAGTAAAATTCATTTTCCCGTTGATCTTCCTGATAATGCAAATAATTTTTTGTTACTTCAACAGATCAACCGCCTATACTGGATATATTGTAAAAGTCAAAACGAACTACAGTAAATAAATTAATTCTTAGCAAACGAATATATTTAAAAATCAAATCATAGATAAAAGCTTTATTAATTTTGTGGCTATATACAGTATAAGATCAGATGCGTCAAAGATACTATATATAGCTCCCCTATAAAGCTTGATAATTAGACGTGATAGCATTCTCAATTTTCAAGTTTATTAGCATTTTGACTCATGAAGTGAGGAGGCTATGCCTCTAAACCCTTTGGGTCATTGCTTTGCAATAATACCGATCTTGAGCATGTTTTACAAATATTTCATCAGGTCTATAGAGCCATTTAATTGCTGCATGCTGGATTATTTTAGCTGAATTTATTCATTTTTTCCGTAAACAATATGCTCGCTGGATGATAATAGCCAATTGATTTTTTATATACAAAGTTTTAAAATATGTTACTTGGATTAAAAATTCTCTAAATTCAGAGTGATTAGATATGGATTCATTTCTGGTTAGATTATTTTTAATACGGAATACAAAGTTTTCCCAATGGTCCTTACTAATAATATCATATCCTAGTATTAATAAACATCTACATATATATTTGGGTGGATGATACTTCGCAAATCATAACCAAGCTTCTGGCGTTTTAAAATTATTGATATAGTTTAAACCATATTTGGTTAACATGTATCGGGTATAATTATTTTTTGTCCATTCTTTACAAATATCTTGAATATTAGGCATGTTTATATTTTAAATACATAGATTTTATTAACTAAGACTCTTTATTTAATAAGTATAAGCCAGGATCGCTAGATCTTTGATGGCAGTTGCGGAGGATTTTTAGCTTATGGGTAAGTGCAGTTAGTGAGTTGGTTTGCATATATAACTTTACTTAAAAAATATCTAATAAGTCTAATTATTCTAAAGCAGGTCCAAAGTGGTAAAGCTGGGTTATAGTGAATGAATAAATAAGTTATGAACTAATCTAAATATTCTCATATAAGTCATAGATATCCTCAATTTCAGAAGTATTCTCATTAATTGCCTTGGGTATGGGAGCTAGGGCTTCAGGTTCAGGTTTTGGATCTGTGTCAAGGTCAAATCGGAAGTATCACCCTCGGCATAATACATTCCAGAATTATAACGATCCATCTTATGCCTCATTGCAACTCTGCTAAGGAATTCGAGATGTTACGAAGTTGGATTTTGACCACCATGAACTCTAGAAGCATGTTTGCTTCCAATTTTTCTTAATCTTTTGGCTATAATACTATATGATTTTAAAAATTTACTAAATACTTCTGTACTGCATTTTCCATTAATACTATAGACAGGATTGTATAACTTTCCAGTTGCTATTGCATCTTGGATCCAGGTAAGCAATTCTTTTACACGTTCTGGATTCTTTTCCATGGATAGAAATTGCTGAGGTTCGGGATTATTTTTTGCTTCTCCTTTATTTTTAATATACCCGATACAATACCAAGAATAACCAGGCTTGTACCATTTAG